TGGTATTTTTTCAAAATTATTCTATGAGTGGGAACAGTGTCAAATTAGCAATTGAAACTTTAGCAGCGATTATTTCTACGTTTATTGCTATAAAATGAGCCTATGGTTGAAATATTATCTTTAAACAAAGCCGAAATATTACGGTTAAAGTGACGACATGTCGTCTGATTTTGTCAAATTTTTCAAAATTTTAACGTTAAATAGTGGCTGTTTGATGACTTTTATTGGCTGTAACAAGTGGCTGTCTAAAAATTTTTTAGCTCCTTGAGCAATTTTTTAATGCGCCGAAATCTACTTTTATTATTCAGGAATAGGAAAAATATATTTACATTTCAGTTTTTTAACTGTTAAAAAATATTAATACATTTCCTGAGGCTTTCTTTACAATAACAATTTATTGTGTAGGAGTCGCTTAGAAATGAACGTCTGCGCTATTAAATATGTCTTACGCGCCACGTAGGTAAGAGGACAAGGCGACCAAATAATTTTTAGTTTTCCGTTCTTTTATCAGCGTGTTACATTATCGACAGCTGATTTAAATTCGTTTGTCTAAACCATTTACCTACAACGCAACTTCCTCTCAAGCGCCTGCAGCGTAAGACCCAAGAGTAGTGGGGATGACCTGAACCGCCTATTTTGCCTCCATTTTGCTAGGCTGTGACGTCAGAGGCTTCACTTTAGGTTTGTCGGACAGTACATCGTACTATAAAATAGCTCATCCTATTCTTATCTTATCCTTATCATATTCTTATCCTAACTCCTATCTATATATACTTTATTTATTATCTATTATCTATACTTTGTTGCACTATCCTTATGCTCTCCATCTCACTGACTAATCTTCTTTCTTCGGCTCTGTTTCCATTTGTTTCCTCTGCTCCCTCCTTTTCCTTTCCAGGTTAACCATCCACTCTTCCCCCTCGCCCTCCTCCCCTAACATTCACCCCACATTTCCTTGCCACTCTCCAAGATCTTCCTTGTATCTTCCGCATATTTTCCATACATGTTCCCATGTCTCTTCCTCTTCTCCACACAGTCTGCATTCCTTTCCCTCTCTGTGCTTCTTGATGTATGTTCATGTTGAGATTGCGCTGTTCGAGATGTTTATCGAAGGAGTTTCGTGTAATTCCTGTGACTGATATAACTTTTACATTGGACACCCTGTTGCTTCAATATTCTCTCTATCTCTATCGCTAGTGATGCGTATTCCTTTTTGCATTCTTCTTTGTTATTATTATTGCTACTATAATTACACGTATATGAAACTCTGTATGAAATTCACGAAGCTCGGACAAGAGGACGGAGAGGGTTTGGAACGCATCTGTTACGCTCCCGTACAAAACGATTTCAGCGGGCCAGTTACTTTGGACCTTTGTACCGTGCAAAGTGTATGGGGTTATTTCTTGAACAATGTCACTCAGTTCAACCAGACAGACACAACGGGTCAATACGAGGTCAACTATTTGGATCATTTGTACAAGTGTGCACAGTGAGTAGATAGCACTAGCTTACACAAGTTGTCGTTCATATGAGCCGTTTATTTTGACAGTGGTGTAAGTCCATTTAAAAAAAAATCGAGATTATGCATGAATTGCACGTGAAACATGTTGTTAAATCTTACCATGAAATATCGTAACTGGCGAAAATAAAATTCATTATCGTCGGTGGTTTTCTACTTACCAGAAAAACTCATAACCGTAGCTAAATATAAAGATACGTGTAAGGCGAATGAAATGCCGGCGCTTGAAATAGACGTTTTTAAAATAACGGGGTTGTTCGCTTGTCGGTAACGATTCGCAATATTGTGCGGGCCGCTGCCCTTTTTCCCGTTCTTATACGCTTCCTCGGCCGTTGGGACTGCGCAAGCCTTGCGGTGGGGGTACAGCCCGCGCTCATCCTTGTCTAAGGCCCCCTGCGGCTTGGGTCCCGCGGTCGTTACCTAGGCGCGTCGCACAGCGCCTTACATATACGAATAATTTGTTGCCTTATATTTCACCTGTGCACCACGATTATTCCAAAAGCATTTCTCACGGTGTCAATGGAGATATTTTAAATTAATAAATTAAAAACCACAAATATTTTTTTTATTTTTAATGTATAATGCTGTTCATAGTTATATGCAATTTTGCTTCGCATAACACCAATGAAAGATTTAAATTTTTGAGAATATAATATAGTTTTTTGGAAAAACCTTGAATTCTAAGCAATTAAACATGATTTAAGTCGCATTATTGAAAATTTGTGGTCACAAAGTCCCAATTTTTCTTCGAGCAATTCCGATATATTTGATATACCTCAAAAGTTTCAATATTTGTCACCACGAGAAACATAAAGTGAGACTACTGGTGATCGTTAATATTTTTCAGTCGATTAAAACGCGAACCCTTAAATATCTCAATATTCAGGAAAATGGACTTACACCGCTATCAAAATAAACGGCTCATATACATCTTGCGATTATTTCAAAGTCATTCAATTCTTCTCCCCATTTTCCCCCATTTCTCGTTGCAACGTCTACGTCGAACGATCGAAAAGAAACCCGTATAATCCCGAGTGTCTGGCGCCGTACAAGGGACCAGTTTTCCCCGCGTTAGCATACGGAGGATTTCTTAAGGAGAATGAGTTCAACTACGACTCGAAGGATTATATCAAAGGAACCGGGATAATCTTATCCTTTCTGGTTAAAAACTCGCTAAACGAGACTGTGCTTGAATCGGCCCGCAAATGGGAGCAACGGTAAAGTATATACAAATACATACACATACACGTATGTATGTATAATAGAACGCGAATGAAATTGATATTGTGATGTCATAACTCTGTATGATCCGTCAGATTCCTCGACTTCATGAAAGAATGGGTCCGAAAGGAGAGGCCGGAATTCATGGACGTCGCTTACGTCACGGAGAAATCGATTCAGGACGAGCTGGAACGGTCGTCAAAAGCAGAAATCATTACTGTAATCTTCAGTTACGCCTTGATGTTTATATACGTCGGGTTTGCCCTGAGCAAGGTCAAATGTTCGAGGCATTTCATACAAGAATATTTTGTAAGTTTCCTACTTTTTGAGAATATCTCGTGAGACGTATTTCTTCATTACCGGTCGTCGATATGTACTTCCGTATTATATATACAATATACAATTCTAGGCAAACAGCAAGATAATGCTGAGCACAGGTGGTGTTATCATAGTAATAACATCGGTAGCTTGTTCTCTTGGTGTGTTTGGTTACATAGGAGTACCAACGACACTTCTCACAATCGAGGTAAGCGATATCGTGTGTAGACAAAACGTCGGTAACGTAACAATGTAGAACAACAGACTAATTGACTGAATTTGCGGGCGAACGCAGGTAATTCCATTTTTAGTATTAGCCGTGGGCGTGGACAATATTTTCATTTTAATTCACACGCATGAAAGAAAGCCGAAGCTTCCCAACGAAACGATACCTGAACACATAGGGAGAATTCTGGCGGATGTCGGTCCGTCGATGTTGCTCACCAGTATGTCGGAATGCTTATGTTTCCTGATCGGTTAGTCAAGTATCCTTTCACCTTTTCTACTTTGCTGCTAAGACATTTTTCGCTCAGCAACTTATTGCCAGCATCGTTCTATACTGGCTGTATTTTTCGCAGGAACACTGTCGGTAATGCCAGCGGTGAACACTTTCGCGCTCTACGCATCCATGTCTATCTTACTGAATTTTCTTTTGCAAATAACCGCCTTCATTGCCCTTCTATCGTTGGACGAGCAAAGATTCCAGGTATACACAATAGAAGATATAATAGAAAAATATTGTTATCGATGCGAGACGAAACTCTCTACGAAAGATCACCAACGATTTACTACCCTTTTCCGTTTCAGAACAAACTGCTGGACGTATTTTGTTGCGTGAAAACAAAGACAGAGCATTTTGCAACCGGAGAAAATTATAGTTCGATGCACACCCTGTTTAAACGTTTCTATACGCCCTTTCTTATGAAAACTCCCGTCAGAATAATCGTGATAATCGTATTCCTCGGTGTTCTGATTACACATATTGCTCTATTGCCAAAAATTGGTATCGGTTTGGATCAAAAACTCTCGATGCCCGCAGATTCTTACGTTTTGAAGTACTTTCAGGTGAGAAGAAAGCGTACGCTATTTATATTTATACCCCTCGTCGAATCTTATATACGCAATGTGCATCGAGACGGTGTAAAATCGTATTGAAATGTTTCAGTTTATGGAAGATCTTTTATCGATGGGACCACCGGTTTACTTCGTGGTAACTCCTGGCCTCGATTACAGCAACAGAACGGTTCAAAATGCAATTTGCGGCAGTCAAGGGTGTAACACCGACTCTTTGTACACGCAAATTTACTCGGCAGCCAAGCAGCCGTCTGTGTTCGTATCATCCGTATCTACTACAACCATGCGTACTAGGGTGTCCTAATTTTTTCCAATCAAACTTTGTCAGTATGTTCTATGGGTATAAGTAAGAAGAAAACATAGGTTGTTTAACACGTTGACTATCACGTTGGTCACCTGTGACCGAAGATTGTTTTCTCGATGTGGCCACGGTGGTCGTCAGTGACCGGAGAGTCTCAAATGTTTAGAATAATTAAAATAAAATGAATATCGCCAACTAAAAATTTTGAACATCGTAGCTAAATAGACATTATTTTGAATTAAAAAAAAAAATAATGTAGTATCCATACCCAAATACGAAATCTACCAGGAAAAGTACAGAGGGAGTTGTTGGCGTAATGAGTAAAGCCTCGGCTGCTAAGCTGAAGGTCCCGGGTTCGATTCCCGCTTGGGTACCTCAAAATTTTTCCTCGATTTCTACAATAATAATAAAGTATAATATAATACATCATCTGGCGTGACAGTCAAACGTGTGTGTGTGTGTGTTAAAGTTTCTGCTGTATTCCGTGTACTAATCGTTTATTAAGCCACAACCGTACAAGTACCACGGAACGGGGAGAGACACATTGACAAAGTACAATAAAGTATTGTTAGCGGACTTTATTCGATAATTTAACGGAGCTGCGGTGTGCAACGGTAAAAAGACTTAATCTCTGTGATTTGTGAGGAAGAACATATGATACGTGTCTTCGTATCTTGAGGAGTGGGGATTAGGATTTGTAAGGGGTTTTGGTATACCAAGGGCAGAATTCGATGGTGAAACAGAGTTAGTCAGGAAAAGATTAAGGTTTGTGAGGTCGAGGTTTCGAGGGCGAGTAGAGTAGACCCGGAAGTCATTGGTTATCCAAATTTCGGGTATTTACAAAACGAAAATCCGAAGACTTAACACACTTAAATCTTACAGCGCGATTTGGAATAACAGATAATGTCGGTATGTAACGCTTCGTTAGAAAAGTCCTAACAAAAATACGAAGGTAATGGGAGAAAAAGTTGACCGGAAAAAATTCGGACATCCTGTATACACGCCAGATCTCGAAAACACCAGTCTACACGAATCTACAATGTCGAATTCTATATATTCAGGTCCTATTTGTCGAAAGGAGCTTCATCTTGGATAGACGACTACATGGACTGGTCGAAGATCACCGGTTGCTGCAAATACTTTGCAAACAATCAAACCTTTTGTCCGCACATAAACAGTAATTCTCCGTACATTTTTACCAGCGAATGAGGAGGACGATCCAATACCTTCCGCTTTATTACAAAATTATTTCCTTTCTTTCTGCGTAGGGGACTGCCTTCCTTGCAACATTACCATAGAGGAATCTCGTCCAAATGCGTACGGTTTTCAAAAGTACATACCGTACTTCGTGCAAGATATTCCAGATCCAACTTGTTCAAAAGCTGGTCGATCTTCGTATCTCGATGTAAGAGATTCTTTCTCTAAATCTTTGCTTCTCTCGATGCAAACCAATGCTCTCTCTCTCTCTTAACGCATCATTCTTAACTTGCAGGCATTGAATTACTACACCGACATAACCGGCCTAAACTCTGTTAAAGACAGTTATTTCATGGGGTACCACACTCCGCTGAAAAAATCATCGGATTGGTACGAATCTCTAAGATCTGCGAGAATAGTGGCCGAAAATATTACAACTATGATAAATAATCAAAGTTTGTCCGATAAACAGATAACCGTGTTCCCATACAGGTACGTATTCCTTCTTCTTCGCGTTTCTTTACCTCTTTCTTCCTGTTACTTTGTTCTTGTTATTCCCAAACTCCATCTCAATGGACCGTGTTCTTCTGTCGACAACGCAAATAAACGATACTCGATTATTTACAGCGTATCCTATGTATTCTACGAGCAGTATCTTACCATCTGGAAAGAAACCGTATCGTCGTTGGGCTATTCTCTTTGCGTCATCTTTGTGGTGACTACCCTTTTGACAGGGCTGTCGTTATTCTCAGCAATAATGGTATTAACAACGGTACTGATGATCGTTATAAACATAGGAGGCCTTATGTATTGGTGGAGTATCGAATTGAACGCAGTCTCTCTTGTTAACTTAGTTATGGTATGTATAAAGAGGGTGGTACACGAGTATAACACGTGCAGTAACTTGAGCGATGTTATGTATACATACTTCACTTTGCTTACAACCCTCTATTTTTTACAGGCTACTGGTATATCCGTGGAGTTTTGTAGTCATATAATAAATTCGTATTTACATTCCAAAAAATACACGAGAATTGATCGCGTGTCTGATACGCTTAACCAAATGGGAAGTTCGGTGAGTATTGTGATACAAGTTATATCGTACGACACATGTACAGTGACTCCCACTAATATTAGGACACTCTTTAGAACAGTGTAACTTTTTTTAAATTGGACCTACCAACTTGAGTTTTTTTTTTTTGAGAAGTTAGAAGGATTGGTATACTAGATGATGTGTGCAGAAAATTTGGAAAAAATTACAATTTGTGGGAATCGCGAGGAAAATTGTAAAGGTCACTTTTTACAACTTTTTTATCTGAGCTTGTGATGAATTTTTGAAACGTACGTTTTGTAGATTTGTGTCAATTATAGGTATGCTAAAAATTTCGTCGAAATCGGTTAATGTTGCTATGAGCTACAAACGATTAACCCCTTAACATATGACAACGTGTCAGACTCGTGGCAGAGATTCTGGTCAAGGTGTAACAAAAATAGTTATATTAGTGAGGAAAATTAATTGTAATTCTAACTTTCGTTTTAATTCGTAAGATCAAGGATTCCTAAATGTAATTAATCTGTAACAGATTAGCTTTTGTTATCTGACGCAGTACTAGAACATTAAATGGCTGACGCTTATATGCATTGTCAGAAAAGAAATCATACATTAAGGGGCTAAAGATTGTGAAATTCGTACTACTTCACGACTTTCCACCTACAATTGTAATAAATCTGAAGATTCTTACATCTTTCGATGCCTGTCGCTTGTTTCTCCATCAACCGACATAAATCTACAAAACGTATGTTTTAAAAATTCATTACAAGCTCAGTTTAAAAAGTTGTAAAAAGTGACCTTTACAATTTTCTTCGCGATTCCCACAAATTGCAATTTTTTCCAAATTTTTTGTACACGTCATCTAGTATACTGATACTTCTAACTTCTAAAAAAAAGCTCAAGTCGTTAGATCCAATTTTTAAAAAGTTACACTGTTCTAAAGAGTGTCCGAATATTAGTGGGCGTCGCTGTATGTCATATAATCTATTCCATTTCCAACAATACCATCGATTTCACGTATTGTGTATCATTTGTTCGACGCAGGTCTTCTCCGGAATCACCTTGACAAAAATTATAGGAATAGTGGTACTGGGATTTTCGAAAACCCAAATCTTCCAAGTATTTTACTTCAGAATGTATTTGGGTATCGTACTTTTCGGCGCTACGCATGGTCTGATATTTTTACCGGTATTATTAAGTTGCATAGGTAAGAACAATTCCTTTCCTCTGTGTTGCAACAATTTTATTGTTAAATAGATGTGTTGCGAAAGGTAATTTTGTAAATTGCAGGTCCGTCAAGGCCGCAAACGAAATCTGTCAAACTATCGAATGGAAAACATTAAAACCTAATCTCATTCACCACTGACAAAACAAATTAATCTAACTATTTCACTCTATAATTTATTTGCTCGCTTTAATTGCGCGACCACGCGAAAACTATTTACACCATTTGACGCGCGATATGTAATATGTAAGTTTAACGATAAGGTAAAAAAGCTTGTAATAAAGGCACGTTACATTACGATTTTTACGATAATAAATTGTTTGTTTTGCGTAAATTATTTCCTTTGCACAATATGCAACGTCTTGTCGGATCACCTTTGCTTTTCGTTGGCGGTCTCATTTTGAGAAAATATCGCGATTGGAAACAAAGAGGATGAAAATGATCCCTTTTCCCTTTGTGATACAAATTTTCCGTTGGATTATGATGTTTTTTTAATAATCCGAATGTTACATCCTCTTTTACTTCACGAAAACTTTTTCTACTTAGAAAAATATTTTTTCTACCATTTTACTATAATTATGAAATAAGCAAAATGAAATTCAGCGTGCACTATCGAGAACAACAGATATTTTTTTCAGATTTTTAGAACATGACAAGTTGCTCGTTTTTGTAAAATAACAATTTATATACAATTTGCACTTTGAAGAAAGGGTGCATACATGAAAATTAAAAATATACTTAGAAAGCACCATCTTTTGCGATGCAAATAAACGAAAATTTTTTTTCTGTAAGTGTTATAGTTTATGAGACAAAAATTCGTTTGTACAGTCATGTTTGACTAAAAACCCCTTTTTTCGCGATTTTCAACATGTTATAATTTGTTAATAATTTTGAAGTCAGCAAAATTATGACATAAACTCGTCGTTATTTTACATAGATTACAACATATTACAATTTTATCAAAATCGGAAGACATGCTGTCAAAAGTGATCGATTTGACGTGAAATGGCTTGTACTGGAGTTTGGAATTGCTGCAGTGTTGTTACCGTTATCGTCCTTCTAAACTGTCATTGGCGACATCTGTCGTCGTGGAATAACGACAAAATTTTCATAGTAAACTAACGCGCGGGATGAGGGGATATGATACCGATCGAAACGCTTTTAAATGTTTGTCGGAGCGTTTGTTTTTGATAATCGTTTGATTTTCTGTTGCAATGTCGAAAGCAAAAGTGTCCGCGGAATGGAGGAAACGCGTCAAATCGGAATATATGCGCTTACGACAAATGAAACGATATAAACGGGCAGATGAGGTGAAAATAGCTTGGAATCATAGTCGTAAGGTTATGTCCGGTTAGTATACATTATGTTCGTTGTACGTTCACGTTCAAATGAAATTCCCCCTCGGCTAATCGCAGCTTTTAACATTCGTCAGAACTTTTGGTAGCTGAACAAAAGCGATGGGCAGACGGAAAGGCAATGTGGCTCGCGATGCAAGATATACCGCCGCATGTATCCTGCATGAAAAAAGCAGAAGTCACCAGCTCCGATGGTGACATACAATCCTGTCCAGTTAAAATTATTAATGCAGTTACTCCGATACCGACCATGTATACCTGGGCTCCCATACAACAGAATTTCATGGTTGAAGATGAAACTGTATTACACAACATACCTTATATGGGAGATGAAATTTTAGATCAGGATGGTACATTTATTGAGGAACTGATAAAAAATTACGATGGAAAGGTATGCAATTATGATCTGTAACTGATCTAACAGTCTCTAACTGATTTGCAAAGAAAATTAAGTTTGCTCCACCAATCCTAGGTACACGGAGATAGGGAATCAGGTTTCATGGATGATTCCATTTTTGTCGATCTGGTAAATGCTTTGGTACAGTATGAGAAGGATGACAAGGAAAGAGAACAGACCAAGAAGGGGAAGGAAAAGGAAGATGATAAGGATAAAGATAGAAAAGCAGATGTCAAAGTTGAAAAGTCGTCTGAAGAAAATAAAACTAATAAAAACCTATTTCCCTCTATGCATATATTCAATGCAAGTGACACACGTATATATACATACACATTTATATATATATATAATATTATTAATCATCTTGTCCATCCTTTGTTCGCGACATTTATAATATTTCTGGGTGAATCCTTTAGGCGATATCTAGTATGTTCCCGGACAAAGGTAAACCGGAAGAATTGAAAGAAAAATATATAGAATTGACAGAAAGGTCGGATCCGAACGTTTTGCCGCCAGAATGTACGCCGAATATAGACGGAGTGAACGCGAAGAGTGTGCCTAGGGAACAAACTATGCATTCCTTTCATACTCTGTTCTGCAGAAGATGCTTCAAATATGACTGTTTTCTACATCGTGAGTATAATAGTAACAAGAAATGCGTAACGTTCGCTCTTCTTAAATTGATTACGTTCGTTTATTTACCAAATATTTACCCATGCCGAGATATAACTTAACGTATAACCGTATTTTCTGTATTACCATAACCCACCCCACCCCACCCCTTCGCGTCCTAAGTTAAGTATCTGGTAATTACGATCATTTATGATTGCCAATTTATTGTAGCAGCCAGGGGAGCGTCGCCGCCAGGTAAAGAACAACACTGCATACAAAAACGATCGTATTCAAACGAACGCTTCTTATTTCTTTCCCTTCTTTTTTCTGTTTCTTTTTTTTTTTCTTTTTTCTGCCGTTGTCGTCGTCGTCGTCATCGGCGTCGTTATTGTTGTTGCGTTGTGTTTTGTCTAGCATGGAGACGCCATCAACAACTCGTATGACCGCAATCATATTTCGTTCATCGTTCAACGCTGTTTCCACTTCTTACTAAATTCTACTCCATCCACGACTAAATTTTATTTTACCTAGGAATTCACAGCTCGTACTGAATTTCTATTGTTACTTATAGGTCTTCAAGTATGTCACCCAGGACCGAATTTGCAGAAGCGAAAAGGGCCTGATCTGAAACCTTTTTCCGAAGCGTGCGGGACAGAATGTTACATGCATTTGGTAAAAAGTGCAGGAAGAATGCACATGCGATAAATTATCGGAGAACACAACTGGTGTGATGGTCGAACATACTCGATGGAATGGAAAATATCTTTTATTCGTAGGAGGGAATGAAGGAGAAACTTGCAGCTCAAGCGGCAGATATTAAGGATGAAGAGAGCGACGAGAAGCGCGCCGGTGGACCTCGAAAGGTGCGGAAACAAGCAAGTGTAGATTCTGGAAACGAAGCGAGCAGCGAAGATAGCAACGACAGCAATAAATACAGTCAGGGAGGTGGTTGCCAAGGTAAAGTGATGATGCATTCAAGGGCATACATACTTGCATATATACATATATGTGTACCGATCAAAGCCATGACAAATAAAAATTCGTACGATGCTGTCCCGTGTGCAGATTTTAAGCAGAACGTGAATAAAGAGACGAAATCTGAAGAATCGATGGAGGATCAAGCTCATCAGCCGGAAAATCAAGCGCCGTTTACGCTTTTGGGGCTGGATAAACGAGTCAAAACGGAAAGCGAACTTTCGTGGACAGGTTCGGAACAAAGTTTGTTTCGAGCTCTTCATAAAGCTTTTCCTGGTAATCCATGCGCATTAGCACAGATAATGCTGACAAAAACGTGTCAAGAAGTCTATCAATTTGCACAGAAGGAAGCCTCAGACATTCCAGCTGTTGAAAATTTGAAAGACTTTACTCCACCACGAAAGAAGAAGAAGAAACATCGTCTTTGGTCTATGCACTGTAGAAAGATACAGCTGAAAAAGGATTCTGGTAAATTTCAATTAAAAGAATTAAGAGACGTTACAGTTTTCATTTGAAATTTAATACATATCGAAATCTCTCTTTGTCTGTCGACTAACTACGTACTAGTTACCTTTTGTTTTTCAGGTGCCAATCATGTCCATAATTTTGCGCCATGTGACCATCCGGGAAGACAATGCGACAACTCTTGTCCGTGTATACAAGCTCAAAATTTCTGTGAGAAGTTCTGCCAATGCAGCAGTGAATGCCAAAATCGTTTTCCAGGATGTAGGTGCAAAGCTCAGTGTAACACGAAACAATGTCCCTGTTACTTAGCCGTACGGGAGTGTGATCCAGACTTGTGTCAAACGTGCGGAGCAGATCAGTTTCATATCACCAAAATATCTTGCAAAAACGTCAGCGTTCAACGTGGTCTCCGTACGTAACACGTACCTTTATCTTTAAAATGAAAAGAAACATATAAGAAGAGTCGTAAATCCTGGAATCGTGATGTTTTACTGTAGCTGCGAATATTTTTTAGACAAACATCTTCTAATGGCACCGTCCGACGTGGCTGGTTGGGGAATATTTCTGAAAGAATCTGCGGCAAAAAATGAATTCATATCGGAATACTGCGGTGAAATCATAAGTCAAGATGAAGCAGACAGACGAGGCAAAGTATATGATAAATACATGTGTAGCTTCCTCTTCAATCTTAACAATGGTAAGAATAATGTTTTAAAAAACATTCAATTTTCTCAAGTTTTACAGTTTCTTATAAATCGAAAAACAAACGCATCTTCAACATTTAGACTTCGTCGTGGATGCTACTCGTAAGGGTAACAAGATAAGATTCGCCAATCATTCGATAAATCCAAACTGTTACGCAAAAGTAATGATGGTAAACGGCGACCACAGAATAGGTATTTTTGCAAAAAGAGCTATTCAACCTGGCGAGGAATTATTTTTCGATTACAGGTAAAGCATTCAAGCGTTTATTCTTTGCGTACACGTATGTACAATTTTTCTTTCCTCTTGCAGATACGGACCAACGGAGCAATTGAAATTCGTGGGTATTGAACGTGAAATGGAATTTTTATAACGCGAAACAGAATCTATTAAGTAATATTGTACATAAATAAGAGACGTATGAGAGGGAGCGAATGAGCGATAGAGAGCGAGAAAGAGAGAACTAGAAAAAAAATGTTGGGTACCTGACATCACAAATAAGTTCATCGAATCTATGTTATAGCTTACGTTGAAAAGTTCTCGAACCAATACACAATAAACTTGTATCATTAGCAATGTCAATTAATAAAATATATTTTAAAAAGTAAGACGTTTCTATTGTTTTCTTATGATCTCTCATCGTGGAACGCGTTTCATAATTTACAACTTGATCGTTTTCACTCATAAACATCTTTACCATCGATATAACTGAATTTCACGTACCTTACAATCAGTTCTATGTAGTTTGTTTATTACAAAGAAACATCGGTTGATTAAAAAAAGTCACACTTTCGATAGCGAAAGCAAATAAACAGTGTAAACAAAGAAGAAGGAAAACGTTGATACATGATCTGTGCCTTGGTTGAAAGTACATATGTATGCATGTCGTGGAACTTGCAATGGAGTTACCCTAAACGAATCGTAGAAATGCTTTGCGATAAACTTGGCTCATAATTCGGCCACCAGTTGCAATCGTTGTATCTACAAGAACGGTCGCTCGAGTTGTTGGTGTGCATATTTATCGAATTATCGTTGTTGCATCTGTTAAATCTCTACGTTACCAACATATAATTACATGTTTCAAAACAATTTAGTAAACGTTTTAGTCACCGATACAGCCAGCAAACGTTAGTAATGACAGAAACGGCACTCGTACCAATCGAATAATTTACATTTGCCATTCATTTACATTTCGAAATCTTTTCATTGATCAGAGGAACACTGATAAAAACAAAGAGTTTCAAGTGGCTGATCTAAAGCAAATTAATAAGAAGAGAACGACAGAAATATCGAATAATAGATAAGAGAAAAAGCCGAGCAATCGAAGCGATTCAAATCGGAAAGAAGAACGGAAGATTTTGGAGTCATTATGGGAGGAGGAGGAGGAGGGGGAGAAGAAGAAGGTAATCCTCTGAATTTACATGGATCATATCACCTTTTTGTTATTGAACATTAACAACAAATGCTCGATGGTAAATCGTGAAAAAGAACTCTTGGCTGTTTTTAAGTAAACTGTATTAGAAATTGATAGGTTCGCGTCAAATTGTAGATAGATAGTATCCTTCGAGGATACCTAACCCTAAGAAGATTATCCTTATCGCACTGTTGTGTATTCCGCAGAGTAAAAAAAATTTGTCCGTAGATTGGGAAAAAATTGTTAGCAAGTCGAAAAAGGGATTTCTGAGTTCAACAAGTATTTTATCCGAGTGAACTTGAACCGTAGTTAGTAACAATTGACGTTGACCTCTATTCGTGAATATGTAATAATCTCGTTTGATCGTTGTATCACGTGCAGACGAGGCAGATCATTCAGAGAAAGAGAGAAGCAAATTCTCTTTCATAGAACTTATTATAGTTGACAGTATGGAGAGGAAGTAGTCATGTTATGAATAAGGGAAAAAGTGAAAATATCTGACGAGATGCAACAAAAATAGTTCGCGTTTTGGCAATCAGCCAACTGCGGAAGCTAAAAGCGCGCTGCGAGAAGGAACCGTAAACTCGTTCCATGTTCTACCCCACTTCTTACCGCTTTTTTTGATATTTTTTTTTTTTTTTAATAAAAACATAACAAATATATCTAATCGTGATTATTTCCAAATAATAGTAGAGATAAAGAAGAAATGTTCCTCGGAAGATATATGTACATGTGCATATGAGCCGTTTAAAGCGAAAGTGGTGTAAGTCAAAAAAGGTGATTTCTAGATAACGAGGGATAAAGTAAAAGTTCGGTAAAATTCAGGAATATGAACGAATGTTAAATCTCTTTTATGCAAGCCCCTGTATAGTTATATCTTAAGCTAATAATGCCATTTTGCCCCGAAAATCAAGTGTATTTTATTCAATATTCTTCCGACTTACACCATTTTCATGCAAACCGGGAAGGTAATTTTATTAGACATAATAAAAAAAGGGATCTGTTTGTTGAAGTAGACATTATGTTTCTATTGCTTTGTTAATTACCAAACAAATTATTTAAAAAAAAATGAATAAAATGTGGTTTACATTGTCAGGAATTTAAATCGAAAAATAATAACGATTATGACGCAGAAACTTTGTGGTTAGCGATAACGTTAAGCTCTTATTCATCGCTCGCTTCTTCTTCGAAATCCAGAAGTCCAATGTCATTTATCTCACACCAAAGACCGACTTACGCCGTTCTTGCATATAGCGTCCATGCCATTCGAGTGGGTGGTTCTTATTTATTTTGCCATCTACCGAGAAACTAACGAAGATATACTTACACCACTTCTGCACAAAACAGAAGGAAGCTTTCGAGATGTGGTGTTAACTCAGAGGCAAAAAATTGACTTACACCACTTTTGCTTTAAACGGCTCTTATGTACGATAATAGGGATGAAAGAAAGAAAGGAAGGAAGGCTTAATCCTGATTCTGTAATGTCTACTGAAGTAACGTATATTGTACATCCTTGGCCAAAAGTATTAGACACCATTGTTATTACAATTTTCTGCGAAAACTATTTCTTTGAAACTTTTCTATTGTTCGTCGTTCTTTGTCGGCCAGTTCAAAGGAATTTTAAAACAGCTAACAAGATTTATAGTTATTTCTCGCCTCCACTATCATACATTTGATCCTTCACTTCGTTCAATGGCTAACGTATCCTAAACATAACACGTGTACGCGTACACATTCTAGAGAAATCAGAGAACAGTAGTATCGCAAGGGAAGCTGGCGTCGAAGAACTGGAACAACTGCGCGACAAATACGAGGGAAAGTTAACAGCATCCCTCTACACCGGTACCTTATTCGTCGCCGTCATTGCATCGAGTTCTGCTCTAAGTGCTCTTTGCATAAACAATTATCAGGTAAATTTTCCCAGCGAAGACACGAATTTTCGGAAAAAATTAACCCTTTGAGGACGATAGACTCACATATGCGTTCGCAAAACTACGAACGCAACCAATAAACTCATATTTTTTTAGCAATAAAAATAGTTGAAGTGATCGTGAACTCATGTACAGGTAACTCCCGTATAACACGGTTGTTTGGTTCTTAAAAAATGGCGTGTTATGCGAATCCAAAAATTCGGTTCCAAAAATGAAAGAAAAAATATTATATTTTTATAATTAAGAGAAATATCTTTATTAAAGCAATTTTCGCCAAAAGTGTAACATATTAGTACGTATTAAATAAAAATAATATGTATTTTTTTATTTCCGCCAGAGATAATTCAGGTCTGCAAATTAATTAAAAAAAAATGGAAAACACAATTACCATATCTTTAAAGAAGGTCGAATAATACCTACTCACCTGAAAATTTTTAATCTATGTATAATGTAGTAAAAAGAAAAACGCAAAGTTTTAAAATGTATGTACTTAATACTCCACGAAAAAAACATCCACGCTCGAATGAAAAATTTCAAATGAGACATGTTTGGTTTTAAAAGCTTTTATTACGTTCCGTGTTATTCGGGGATTTCCCTAATTTCGAATGAAATATTTTGTGCTTTCGAAAGCTCTTATTATATTCCATATTGTTCGGGTATTCCCCTAATTCTCGAACCGTGTTAGAGCGAAACCGTGTTATACGGGAGTTACCTGTATTTGAAGGAAATGTAATTTTCGTATAAGAAAACTAGTGACCTAATTATGTGTTACACAAGTAATCTGTTGTTTTGTTTTGCCTCTCAGCATGTCCACTTCCCTTTCCTCCTCCTCTCTTTTCCTCTTGCACCAACTATCTACTACCAACTTCATTCCCCTTTCTGATCCTTCTTATTTCTCCTATTCTGCTTACTCGTTCCTCTATCATTGCTTCTTTCTTTCTTCTCCGTCATCTTTCCTTTTTTTTTCCTTCTCTTCCCCTCTTTTCGTTATTCCTATTTTTCCTTCTTTATCCTCTTGCTTCTCTCTTCCCCTACTCATCCTCCTGTTTTACCGACCGTCCTTCCTTTCTCCTATCCTTTTGTCTTTTCTCCCCCCAGTTGTCTCTCCTATCGCCTATTCTTTACACGCTTCCTAACCTTCAATTTCCACGTTCTTGTTCACCACAATTTCTACTTTCATTCCTTTCTTCCTTCACTCCCCTCTTTCCACCTCTTAAATGGATAATTCCTCCACACTCCCTCTTCACTTTCTTCGATTTTCGTCGTTTCTTCCCTCTGATCCCTCACCGGAAACGGAACTCCCTGTTGCACAAGTAATCAGTAGTTCGACAACACACAGTCCTCCGTCCGCAAAGGGTTAAAAACAAGGGAAATAGCAGGGAAAAAAAGATGCGAAGAATATTGGCTCTTACTCGTAAGTTATATGTTAAATTCGGTTGAACATGAAATTATCATCTGTATCCTATAAATTAGCGTCTTTTCTCTTCTATCCACACACTCTTCTTCTTCTTTTTCTTTTTCTTCTCGTGTTCTTACAGGATTTAAGGAAAGTGGTCGTGCCTGCGTCGAGCCTGGCGATCTTATTAATCTCATCGTTGAGCCTGCTACTTTTAACGCAACTACCGTCGACTTTAACGTCCGCTAAAACTAGATTTCTTCTAGGATTCGTTGCCTCCGTCATCTTAGGCATTGGAATTATAGTTCTCCGTGCTCCGGTAGCCTTGTTCATCACGATACTTGCAATGATCGCCGTATTGCCGAGAGACACTCGCCAAAAGAAACCGACGATCCTTGCAATTATCCTGATCGTTGCCCACTTGGCCGGACAATTAGCGTTCGTCGACCATTCCAACTACTACCAGATAGCCCAGGTACGCACCTCTTTTTCTCGCACTCCGAGAAAAGTGCCCACCGTCTGATACATAGTGTGCAATTTTGTCAAATACAATTGTACAATCGTTTGATCGGTCGTTTCATTTAGACGTGCAGCGAGATCGTCTTTCTGTTCGCGGCAGTTCTGGCCGGTTCGTATTACAGTGTATTAACGGCGAAGGCGCACAATCGAACGTTCTCCAGAACGAAGACGATCATGGAGTCGAGGATAAAGCTGGAGTGCGAAAGGGAGCAACAGGAACAGTTATTGTTGAGCGTTATTCCAGCATACATCGCTGCTGAGGTGAGTTTACCTTCTCTACTCGACGACGCGATGTAATTCTCCATTCGTCGAGGGTAGCTTCGTTAAAGCAAGCGTTCACGCAACTTCGACAATTGAGACAGGTGAAAAGGAGCATTATGTTGAAAATGGCGGACGCGTGTCAAGAAGCTAGCAAACACAAGCAAACCAGATTCCACGAAATGTACGTGCAGCGGCATAACAACGTTAGGTAATATATTCGTAACAGATAAATTGCGACAATGCCGATCAGTTTAACTGTTAACCTTCGGACGACGGTGGTCGGGTCACCGGTGACCCAGCTTTCAGATGTCTCTCGTTTCGACCGACATTTGATACCAAGTCTCTCCTCTCCTTATAAATATTTGTCGTTATTTTAATCACAATATATTTGTATAATTTTTGCCGGACCAATTCTACGTAACTTGTCCACGGTGCCGAAAAGAATTTTCTATTCTAATACAACACATTGCACTATGCATAAATACTATGTCAATAGTTAGAATTAAAACTATTTAAATATGCTGTGTGATGCATTAGGTGAAAATTTCACAAATACTACCATTTATTCAAATTAAATGCTTTTACTAATTTTGAGACCGCCGGTCACCGATCACCCCCACGGCATTCAACGTGTTAAACAACACAATGCCTAGTAAAATACTGTAGAAAAAAAAATGCGGTTTCACTTGAGTGCGAAAAGATTTTACCGCTGGGTCATATTTGACCCGGCGACCGTCGTGCGTGCGACTGTCGCGCCATTCGCTGTCCGAGGGTTAAAATTAAGTTCGTCTACTTGTAATTTTCTGATACGATAACAAACGAACGATGATTCTTCCTTTCCTATCGCCGCGTGAATCAGCATTTTGTACGCGGACATTGTGAATTTTACACCGCTCTCGGAACAACTGTCCGCCCCGGATCTCGTGAAAACGTTGAACGAACTGTTCGGAAGATTCGATCAAATTGCTCAGGTAAGATCTTTACCAGGAAATGGCATCTTTTCTCTCGGTCGTTCGTAAATTTGCACGTGAAATTTTTTTCAGGATAATCAATGCATGAGAATCAAGATCCTGGGTGATTGTTACTACTGCGTTTCCGGATTGCCGGTCTCTCGGCCGAATCACGCGTACAACTGTGTAAATATGGGCTTGCAGATGATAGACGCGATCAGGTAAGAGAAGAAAGATGCAGCAAAGAGAAAAGTTGACAACTCGATCGCATTGCACGGCTAGGTTCGTTCGTGACGCAACGGGGTTCAACGTGGACATGCGAATAGGAATACACACCGGAAACGTGTTGTGCGGTGTACTCGGCCTGAGAAAATGGCAATTCGACGTGTGGAGCGACGACGTTACGCTGGCGAATCACATGGAAAGCGGTGGTTTACCGGGGTAAGTTTGCTTTACCCTTCCTTTTCCCTCCTATTCTCTCTTTATATTGTGTATACAAGGTGAGCCACGTAAAACAGGTCACCTAATTATCTTCTCTAGCTATGGTGGTAGGAGAAAATTTGTACACGTAATTGAAATGGTTTTTTTTCTGGAAGAAATAGCAAAAAATGAAAGGAAGTTTTACATTTAATTAATTATTTTAAAGTCTAAGTTCTTATTATTATTAATGTCTGCTATAACATACAGTAGAAAAAAATATGTACTTTCATGTGAAAATACATAAGTGATCTAAAAAAACAAAGAAACAGAAAAAATAGCATTTATAAAGAAATTTTTATTCCATCTTATTCGTCCTTCGAAACCATTTAAATTACATCTAAGAATTTTCTCCTACCACTATAGTTAGAGAAGATAATTAGATGGCCGCTTTCGCGTGGCCCAAGATTATAACCTGAAATATCTTCGAAAGTGTCGATTACACCGAAAAATATTTCAGACAAAAGTTGAATGGTATCAAGAGGGACATAAATTGACGTGATCAGTTTTTTCTTTGGTTTTTTTTTAACGGAATCGTATATTTTTCAGCTCGTCGTTCCCTATAATGCCATTTCCGAAGATATTTCAGGCTCTAGTCTTAGCTAACTCACCCTGTATATCTTCTATGCGAAGGGTTGCCATACGTTCGGGTTTACCCGGATTTGTCCTAGCTTTTAAAGCGTCCAGAGGGATTTTCTGTAGTGATCCGAATTTTCCGATGTTTGTTTACTGCCCGAACCGTTAGAACCCATCGACTATCCGTGTTATCACGTTATCTGTGCGTTGCATGCGGTGATCTAGCACGCGTCAGACGCACCTGTAATAATATACTGGACAACAATGCACCTGTTTTTCTAGGAGCGATTCTCAAATGTTGCGTTCGCATCAGACGCATCGGAAGCAGTCTAACTGCGAACACAAGACAGAAATTTTTACCTTGGAATATCGTAATTAGTCTAAAAAAATAGAAGTGTCCGGGTTTCAGGCGGAAGATTCTGGGGTTTTTAATGCTCTCTATTCTAGATCAGCGTTTTTATAAATGGCAAACCTATCTACGTATAATATATACTTCATTTTGTTTCTCGCTTCAAGGAGAGTGCATATAACTAAAGCGACAATGCTTCAACTTGGAGATCGGTTTCAAGTCGAACCTGGTAACGGAGGATCGCGGGAGAGCTATCTCGCCCAGCACAACGTAGAAACTTTTTTGATAATACCGCCGTCGCCAGAGGTAAGACCGACCGAATTCACGACGTGAGGTTGAGAACTGTTACGAGTGAAAAGTGGAAAGGAAACGGTATTCTCGAAAATTCGCGATCTTTTCCTATTCCTCCAGCGTATCGTTTCTTTTCTCTCCTTTGCTTCCTCCTTTTCAACAAGTTACTTAAATACCTATAATAAATATTTGTGATATCCTCGCGTCGTGCAAAATTTTGAACGATCTTGCGATCTAACCGTTCTTACGCAGCATACGCGTACTGCACGTACAATAATAAGATAAATTGCGCAATGATTTTTCTCGTGTTGTGTCAGAAAACCAGCCGAGAGAATCGCACGGACGATAGTGGCGAGCGCGCACGCGGCCTTGCCTCCATACCGTCAAGGTGAACACAATCACAATGAAACAATCCATCATCCTTTCGTTTAACCTCTTCAGGGACGATTTTCTTTAAAATTAGAAAATATTCATCTAACTTTTTATGTAGTTACATTTATATTCATGTTAAATCGATAGCAATTAAACTACTTTCCTTAGGAGATTTTGAGAGATTGTGTTTCTCACATTTTCTCTATCGCAAATATTGGAATTTTCGGAAAATTTAAAGGTACACATATGTGTCGGTGTCCCTGAAGAGATTAATTATCTCACACTTCTTATCACACGTACCTACATACATAGATGAGCCGTTTAATGCGAAAGTGGTGTAAGTCAAAAAAAGGCGATTTCTAGATAACGAGAGATTCTTCTTTCTAGATATCCTTACACCACTTTTGCATTAAACGGCTCGTATACAAGGTGACAAAAAAAAGAAGGGTTCGTAACTTCTAAATGGTGAAGAAAAGTCCTAATTAACATGGGTCGAAAAATGAATATTTTCAAAGTTACGAACAATTTTTTGTTTCGGTTAACCCCTTAACATATGACAACGTGTCAGACTCGTGTCATAGATTTTGGTCAAGATCTGACAAAAACAGTTATATCAGTAAGAAAAATTCATTTTAATTCCAATTTTCGATTTAATTTACAAAACTGAAGATTGGCAAATAATTAATCTATAATACATCAGCTTTTCTTACTTAATATAGTACTAAAACAGGAAATGGCTGACGCGTAGATGCACAGTCACGAAAAGAAGTCATACGTCAAGGGGTTAAAGGGAGTCACTTAACTGTTCGCTCGTAATAAGATAATCCTATGGTATGACACGTGTGTAGAGTGGAAAAAGACCGATAATACATTGTTTCCATATGATACCATAACTTTTAAAGCCAGAAAATCGCTCGTTTTAACCGAAACAAAAAGTTGTTCGCAACTTTGAAAATATTCATTTTTCGACCCATGTTTATTAGGACTTTTCTTCGTCATTTAGCGAGTACCACTTTTTCTTATCATCTTGTATATACATATTTATGTATAGTTACCGAAAATAATCTTCGTTTGATAAAGCTTTCAATGTAACATTATAATATGTATATTAATCATACATGTACATACATCTCCTATAGTACAATGTACAAGTATATATGTGTATAACTAGTCTAACACGACGGGAATTTTGACACGATTATGTAGCTAAGAGAAATCGAGAATTCAGACGACATGCAACTTTCGATCAACTTTCCTAGCATGTTAAATCACTAGAGCACGTCAGCCTACGATTTCGTGTATATACAATACACACGCAGACATCGTTTAATAACCGAAAGAACATACAAGAAGAAGCTTGCGCTCCTCGCAAATATTGCATTGCCTGTTGAAATTTCGTTGCTGGCTATACATATGTATAATACGTACGTACACTCCAGTTCACAGGTATTAGGACACTTATTGAACGTGAACTAAATCTAAAGAGTCGTTACAAAATTATTAAGATGAGGAAAAAGGAATTATTCAGTTCGATATCTCGTAGTACATGCAACATATACAGGGTAGGACGAACATATACGCGTAAAACATGCCATCTGATTATCTTTTCTAACTATGGTGGCGGGAGAAAATTTTTATACGTAATTTAAATGATTCCAAATTTTTTTACAAAGGCTATTTTTTTCTGTTTTTTTTTTTTAAGGTCACCTATGTTTTTTTTTTACACGAATGTATACAGGGTGTAACCGGACGGATGGTACAACCGAGCAGGTTGTGATTCTACATGCAAGAATAAGTGGAAAAAAAGGAATAACATTTTTTCATTTCACGTCTCGTTTTCGAGAAAATCGAGTTTGAAAATTGTGTCCTAATTCTTTTTTTTTTTAACACTGACATTTATTAACATTTTGCAAATGCAAAAAAAGTGTAAATGAAAATACAGAACAGAGAAAAATTGATTTTATGAAAGTTCAAAACCAGAACACCCCCTTTAGGTGACAATACGATACGGACTTTCGCGAAGAAATCTAATTTAAATCACGTGATACTTCATGTACAAATATAACGGGTGTCCTGATAATTATGAACGCCAGTGTACGTGTATCCTATCAAAGTAGGAAGACACTCACAGACACCTTTCATACTTCTCGTTCTCTACCCCTGAACAGATCAAGACCAAGCAGCAAAATGACGAAATACGTGGAATATTGGGGTGCAGATAAACCGTTCGCCAATATCGCAGAAGCTACACTTGCTAAAAATATAGGTCTAACGGTAAGTTACCGTTACAACTTTCATTGTCCTCGTTGAATTCACTTTGTCTTTTCTATAGTTCGAGCAAATGAATGTTCGTTTAATAGTAGATCAGAGCAAGATAGATCGTACAACGATGCATAAAAAAACGTTCATCATTTTCTTCTATCACAATCTGCTACTTTCTCCGAAGAATCGGTTGTAACAAACTACTAATCTCTCGATATTTCTCCTTTCCTCTTTGCAGAGTATCGCTATGATCGACTCGAATCTTCTAGTAAACGGTGATTCAGCTTGTTTCGTCTGTGCAAAGTGAGTTGCTCTCTTTCTCCTTAAAGCGCCTTAATTTTCTCTACAATTCTACTCGTACAATATTTATTCACGTAACTAATGGGAAACTACTAAAATTTCTTCTGCGTGTTCGTTCGAACGTAACAGACAATGGTATCAAGGTAATATCGAGGGCATATCGCCCCTTATATATCGATTCAACGACCATAATCAAGAGATCCGATACCGTCGACAAACCGACGAACAATATCCATGGTATCTTCTCGCATCGACCACCGTTTACATCATGATTTTCGGCATTCAAATGATTTATCTACCAAGGTAAGCACACTCTGCCACGGTTAACCCCGAAAAACAGCGATTTCTATCCTTTCTTACTAAATTACTAAAATTCTACGACACACCGAAAAATGTATTGCATTTTTTCACCGATCTGACAAAAAAAAGTATACATTTTTGACCGATTTACAAAAAAAAATCATACCGTATTTTTTATACTAGGTGTAGAAATAAGTTCTTTCCGATTTTTTGGTAAAATAAAAATTTTGTTTAAAGAAATATATAAAAGGTTGTATCGTTGAAATATTCGCCGTTGTTTTCTATGACTTTTCGCCACTTTTCCGGTAAGTTACGAATCTTGTCACGATAAAGACTCGATAGCTCTGACGCGATGTACAGTAATGTCTCTCTAATTAGCCACCAGCAAGGAACCTAAACAGGACAATTTAAGAATCAGGGACTCTGTTTTCGAGCCTTTGTAGTTTGCCGAACGAAGACAAGGACAGCGAATGAAAGATAAGGATGGAACGTGAGTCGAGGCAACCAAGCGATTTAAATCCAACTTTTTTAATTTTACGTTTTTTTATCTCGAAATTTTTCTTAACATATTGCTGAGATTTTTCTGATGAAAATGACATCAAACACGACATAATTTGAACAACATTTACTTATTAACACGTTCACTGTCACGCCAGATTTACAGGTTGCTGTCAGGCGGCCACAAGAAAATACATTTTAAGCATAGGATTATAGTATTATGCTTTATAATTTTTTTTTTTCAATTGAAAATAATGTCTAGCTAGCTATGACGTTCAAAATTTTTAGTTGATAACATTTATTTTATTTTAATTATTCTAAACATTTGAGGCACTCCAGTCACTGATGACCACCATGGCCATATCGAGGAAACAATCTAGTGTTAATACTTATTGAGTGATTAATTTAATTTCATAATATATCGCTTTGGATGAATTACAAAAACAAATTGCTAAGAAAATACATTAAATACCTGTACACATTATCCGTCGAATGTAGGGGGAGAGCCACCGTTTGGTTGCCAATTGTTTATCACATACACCTACAAGTGTCAAATTTAGGTTCCTTGTGGACTGACACTTGTAGAGACATTACTGTACTATGATATTCATCTCGAAACTCAAAACTTGACAGTGTAGTTTTTCAAAAATAATCTTCGACACTTCGTTCATCAATAGAGGCGTAAATTATGCAAATTAGCGTATCTCATCACGATGACAATTCGCGCCTGCTGTCAACAATATATTAAGTGATATTGTAGC